CGACGTAGGACGGTACGTAGTTAGTAAAGGTAAGTAGGTAGGTAGTAGGTCGTACTTACCTACTTACTTTCTTACTATATATATATATATATATATATATATATATATATCACTACAAGGATATATGATTCTATGTACGTAGTGACCTCAATACATTTTATCTCATTCAAGGTCAATTGGGAATTGGTAGTTCCCATCTTTCATAGATGACTTCTCTTTTGTATTCTTAGGGGATTATCTTTGCTTTTGGGATGCTATTTCGAGTTTTGCATGCCATCTCCCTCTGTCCTATGATGGTGATCTTTCTTTGCATACCGATTTCTTTTATCCTATATGACCCAAATTAGGGCGGGGAGAACACACTAAAGCTTGTCTAGGAACTTTTTGTTGAGCTGCTTTTGGGACTGAATGATGCTCCACGTGACAAGGTTTAAGTATGTTTTGGTTTTGGTGATTTCCCCAAGGATTGTGGTGAAAAATAGTTTGAATATTGTACACCAACGATTCGGGATTTAGGTAAGTCATGTTGTGAGCAAGGTGAGCTTTTGGGAGTATGATTATGATAGGGTTTTGAGTTATCATTATTAGTTCAGATGTTGTTTTATCAATGATAAATTTGCAAAGTTTAGGGCTAGTCTTCCTTGGAATAGTGGCAAACCTTGATATGTATAATGTATATTGCAAAGGTTACATTATAAAAAATGACTTATTCGGGTTTTTTCAAAGGTGGTGAAATTGTAAAAATTGTTTGTTTTTGTAGAGTTTTTGTCAAGGCCAGTGTAGGATTTGTCGCAGTGGAGTATGCATTTGAGGGATTGACATGATTATGCATCACCTACCATACCAAGAATGAGATGGTCATCGGCGTAAAGAAGACAAGGAAGAGTAGTTTCTAATTTAGGTTATCCGAGGTGCTTGAAAATATCGCAATCTTTATTTCTTTTTGAATAAGCTTTGCCAAAAACATTTTGTGGCTACTGGAAAGGGGTGTAGAGGTAAGTATCCCCTAAAATAGTAGCAAAGAGTGCCATTGAGGAGGACGAAGTATTTGGGTGATGTGATACACATTTTGACCCAATTAACGGGTTTATCCCAAAATTTATATCTTTCAAAATTTATATCTTTGGAGTTTATTTATTAAAAATTCCCAATTGATATATCAAATGCCATATGGAAGTCAATTTTGAAACAATAGGTTTTTTTCCTTTTTTTTTTTCTCCCCTATTGTCTTGTCATACCATGTGTTCATGTGCAACTAAAGCTTGCTTAAAAATGCTTTCTATATAGGCACCTTGGTTAGGACTAGGGTTTTAAAAAACGCTGATCTAGATTGGTACAGTCCGACTGGGATCGGGGATCAGTGGAACCTGTCCAGTTCAACCGGCCAATCTGGCATCACCTTTTAGTTTTTACTATTTTTTAAATTTTTTATTTTGTTCTCTTTTTCTTTTTATTGGGCGATTCACTTGTCCGGATCGCTGATCTGCTGATTTGGACTGGTTTTCTGGATTGGCAATCCAGGTCCCGGATCAGCTCTTTTAAACGCTGTTTAGGACTAATGATGCTGTTTAGCAATAAGCCTATCAACAATGGTTTTGCGAATGACATTATGGATCACATTGGCTTAAAGTCAGTCTATGTTGCGGATTCGTTGATTGTGAAATGTGGATATTCAGAGTTCCATTCTATGGCATTTATATTATCAAGAAATTATTATCACAAAAAGATATAACCTTGAACGTTGAAAAATGTGTGATTCTGAGGGTTCTATATGGTAAGTTATTCATATCGCCATCACAATTTCGTGGGAATATGCAATTTCTTTCTGTGCGGTGACCCAACATTTTCTGTTTTGTATAATTTCTGCTTCTTTTATATGGATACAAACAAAATTTGCTCGAAGGTTTGAAGTAAATTTTATATCAATTTCTTACCTACTCGACCGCCCATTATTCATGGTTGATGTATAATGTTATCCTCTGACTATTTGTAAAGGTGAAAGTTTTACTTCTTTGAGTTATGACAATGCCAGTTAATGTTCTACCCTGACTTTGAAATGCCTAACCCTGCCTTGAAGTAACAGTATTGCATCGCACTTGCTCTGGAATGATGCATCATTAGCCAAATCAGACAGCTAAGTGCTCCTTGAGAGTTTCTTCTCCATGCTTGATCATCATGGTGCTTTTGGTAGAGGTACTTAATGTGGCCTTTGCTAAGCCCTGGATTGAGTTAATGCTGAGGGCTTAAGTGGAGGCCTTGGACACATTGGTGATAAACATTGGGATTGGTTGATGACTGACCAGAAATTAGTTTTCTTCTTTCACTGTTTTTCCTTTATTTATTTTAGTGTGGGGAGAGTGGGCATTCAATGGATGCTAGTTTTTTGGCTGGGTCCTTAGAAGCATATTATTTCAGCGATAGATAGTAAGAATATTTGAAGGATAAAGTATATACAAGGATGCAACCTTACTTGTAGAAGTTAGGTTGCATTAATCTACACTGCCCATTTTATCTGAATGGTCTAGATTTGACACTGTCTCAAGATGTGCAACTTTTTGACACTGCCTTAAAAGTCGTGTTAAATCCAGTTATAGAATGTGATGGCAAGAAATTTATTGCATGGTTAGGGATTGGTTGATCCCCCATTCCAGTTCCTTATCAACTAGAGTATTATTTTGAGGAAATTTTTGACATTATGGTGGACATTTAAACAATGTCCTGTGTTTTTTATTGTACAACTCGGCTCTATTAGCCTTTTCCCCCATCCCCACCCTTCTATACCTACTCTGCCTTCTCTTTTTCTCTCACTTTAGACTTCCCTCCTCACCTAGTCTTCTCTACTTGACCTTCTGACCTCTCTTTGATATATATTTTCTATCTCCTCTCGCTCTTTTATCCTCTTTTACCATTCTTCAATCCCCCCCCTCCCCCCCCCCCGGTGCCTCTCTTTCTTCCTCCTTTCACTTGCGATGCTCGTTCGTGACCTGCTAAGGTCTTCTCAGTGCTTCGAAGTTTCGCCTGCTGTGAAGGAGTGCGGCTAGAATAGCAGAACACTCGGGCCCATTTTCCCCCTCAACCCTACCCCCTTTTTTTCCACCACTTCCTCTCTTCTCCTCCCCCCTCAGTGTCCACGTGCTGAGCTTGCAATTCTCCTGCTCATACGCTCTCCACTTTACTGATCCCTCCACCCCTCAGAGGTCTCGGTGCTTTGTAGACTCGACGCTGTGAAGGAGTGCTGCAAGATGCGCCCAACTGTCTAAGTCTTTATTTCCCCCTCATCTGAGCCCCTTCTCTTCCACCTTTTCTTCTCTTCTCCTTCTCTTCTTGGCCTCACTTACTGAGCTTCACTTCTACCTTTTGTCAGATTATACTACCTCCTCTCTTCCTTCTCTATCTATCTCCTCTTTATTACCCCAATGCTGAAGTGCTGTTACTGCTAAGGACAAAGCCCTTCAAGATCAGGACAGGAAGCATGTCAACTCCCAGCCCACCGGACTTCAAGTGCTACTGAGGACCTGCTACTTACAATCTTATCAGGCCCAGTACTTCACAACTGCTCACTATTACACCCTCAGGATGCCAATTGACAAACTGAGAATCAATACCTTTACTTACTTACATTGTGTTTTTCGGACTCTTAGGAATATATGTGAGCTTATCACTATTTTGGTCTTTTAAGGATTTTTCTGGTTTTTGTGTTTTCCTTCTGTTATTTTGATTTGTTGCTTTCCTTTGGCCTGTCGAGTGACCACGTCTTGGTCCTCAATAGGAACTATTCTCTCTCTTCCCCCTTGAGCAGTCTAGCTCTTTCTGTACTTTTTTGGTTGTAATCTGAGCTCCCACAAGTTTTTGGTTGTAATCCAACTTGTGGGATGCCGTCTGTATTTCTTCCAATGTATATATTTTACTATCTATACAAAAGTTAACATTTCTCTAAAAAAAAAAATCATGTCCACCATGAGGCCATATTTTTAGCAAATAGTATTTGCTTAGCAAGGGTGGGATCTAACAACTTGACCCTGTGGACCACCCTTCGCCCCTTCACTTGGAGCTACATCATGGTGGCTTTTAATGTTGGAAAATTGTTTCATGTGGGACGGACCGCATTTCTACAATATGCGGTCCCAAGATATAAAGCATCCATCTTAAAGATGGATGCAAATAGGTGGTCCATCTAAAAACAATTGAAACTAGCGGTCCAAATGTTTTCTTCATAAAATTATTATTAACCAAAGTCATTCTTTGAGAAAGGATCACTATGAGTCAGACTCCATAGAATTTGGTCAATCCTTTTTCTGTCGTTAAGGCCGTTATTTCTTAAAATTTATTTATTTATTTATATTCATCATCTCCGTGTTAGAGATTTCATGTCTTTAAAACTTGGGTCCGAAAATCCATCTTAAAAATAGATTTTTAAGAGTTGACTCATTTCTACATGGACTCATAGAAACCGTGTCTTTTGATGTTTGTCTTTTTTAGTTTGAATAAAATGGTTGATTTCTGGATATGTTTATTGTTGCATCGTTCAATTTCTTGTGGAGTGTCCTATAGGGATTTTGACGTGCCTATGCAGTTCCAAGTGCTCATTGTTTTGTCCATTTCCTTTTATTTTATTTTAATTTTTTTGTATCTTCTCTTTGATATGTGAATGCGTAGAAGGTTGTGAGTGTCAAGTGGGGCAATGATATTAAAAACTAAGTTTACAGTTACCACTAACTCTTTTCTTTTAATGTGCTTCTTTCATTATGCATGCTTACATCGAGTGAGTATTGAGATATTAGAAGGTTTCCGAATTTTAGGAAATTTCTACCGTTTTGCTCTTGGGTTGGAAAAAAACAATAATTATTGACTTTGTTTATGGTGGGAAGGTATTCATAGTAATTTTTTTGGCTATCCATAAGAGATGGCCATATTTTCCCAGTAGTTTTTAACTCCTCTCTTCTCTTTATATATGCTGCATGGGATTTGCTGTGGTTGGCTTAATATCATGATGGCTTAATATCATGATTATTGTAAATGCCATATTCGTCATATTTTCTGTGTGACTTAACTGTGTTCTGGTTTCCCCCCCAGGTGATCGACAAAGTTCAAGAAGAAACAAACAAGAGCCGCTCGGGTATGCTTCTTGCCTCTTTAATTACCGGCTTTTTTTTGTTAACTATATACATATTTTTGTTCTTTTCTAACCAAATTGTGGCAAGCCTAGGTTATAGTTAGAATATGATGCCCTTCATTACTACTTTGGCATTTTGAAGAAAAGGAGCAATAAACTTTTAATACACATACATTTCCTGATTAAGATCGTGATTTGTAAAAGAAAATACATTTACGAGGCTTATGACTCGACACATTTCACATCCAGATAACTGTGCATGTTCTGAGTTTTATGACTTGATTTAACCTGGGGCATCTATTTTATTTGTGCTAAGCATGTTGAATCTTGATTCATCTCTTTGCTGTGATTGTGGCTTTACAGACAGGAAGCCTCCAGGTGTAGGGCGTGGTAGGGGCAGAGGTAGAGAGGAGAGTGGTGGTGGAAGGCCCATGAAAGGCATTGGTCGAGGTCAAGAGGATGGCAAAGGTGGTCGTGGCAGGGGAGGACCTGGCAACAAAGGTGGCAGCAACAGAGGTACGAGCTTTTTGTCCCAGTTCGCTTTTTGAATCTTTCTTTTTATTCTTCTGCTCTAAGGTACCAAAACATGCAAGTGGTAAAGCAAACATCCCAAATTGAAAATCACATTCGGGTTATGAGCCGATGACTCGACTGATTGTCACTTTTTGCAACCTTGAGATTTGTGGGGTCAATCTCGTCTTACCTATTCTAGAAAAATATAATATTTAGTAGATAAAAACCAAATGCGATTTGTGATTCTTCATTTGTCTATTCTTAAAATTATGCCTTGCATAGTTATTTGCAATTATGGAGAGGTGTTTTGTTGAAGTGTACTTTAAGTTGGAAATCTGTTTATATATTTCATACAATGGTTGTATAGCAATATAATGAAACAATCTTCGAAAACCATGTTAGTACCGTTTGTTTGACCCCAATTTTCAAATATATACTCTTTTCATTCAAATGAATAACCACAAAAAAACAAAATTTGAAAACATACCCTAGAAAGTACCTTTTAAGCCCGATTAACACAAGCCGTCAATTTTGTGAAGTTGCTTAGACGGATTTTGTCCCTTTTCAAAAATTTTAGATATCTTTGTTATCATTAGATGAACTATGTTGAAAAGAAAAAATAGTTGGTTCATAAAGGCCTAAATTTTGAATTCACTAAATGGATGATCTAAATTGTTAAAGGGGACTCATTTTTAATCATATCTAGGATGCAAAATGAATTTTATTTTTTTGGAAATTGACTATTGAGATGAAGAGAGGGTATGTGGAATTTTTGGGGTTATACAAATACTATAAATGTTATGTTACTATACAACTGTTACATGAAATCATTCCCTATATATATATATATATATATATCATCATCATCATCAGCTGAGCCTTATTCCAACTATTTGCGGTTGGCTAAATAACAGTAAATATACAGTAATATAATAGCTAGTACTATATAGTGTTATAATACTAATTTAGTATTATGTAATAAATATTGTATAGTACTATAACCATATATAATATTATATAACATATATAACCAAATATAATATTGTATAATCATTATCATCATTTTAGCCTTTTCTCAATTAATTGGGGTCGATTACATGAATCATGTTTCTCTATTCTGCTCTATTAAAGGCCATATCACAAGTGAAGCCATAAATCCCCGTATCTTTTTGGACTACCAAGTCCTTCTGGGCATACCCCTGGCCCTTTTCAATCCTTCCACTTGAACTAACTCGCACTTCCTAACAGGTGTTGTATTTGCCCCGTACATGGCCAGCCCTCCTACGTCTACAATCTCTCATTTTATCGCCTATTGGTGCCACGCTTAAATTTGCTCGAATAGATTCATTTCGAATTCTATCCTTTCTTGTCTTGCCACTCATTTATCTCAACATCGTCTTCTCCGCTACACATTCTATGAGTATATTGTTTTTTGTCCGCCCAACATTCCACCCCATAGAGCAAAGTTGGTCTCACCGCTCTCTTATAGAACTTGCCCTCCTTCAGTTTCATTGGTATGCGGCGATCACATAAAATTCCAGTTGCACATCGCCATTTCGTCCATCCAGCTCTAATTTTGTGTGCGACGTCTTCCTCGATCTCTCCATTTTCCTAGATTATCAATTAAAGATATCGAAAGTTCGGTCTCTTTTGTACTTCATGGTCGTCAATCTCTACTATTATTACTAAACTTGCACTCCATATACACTGTCTTTGTCCTACTAATTTTAAAACCTTTGGATTTTAGAGATCCCTCTAAACTTCTAACTTTGTGTTGACGCCGTTTTGTGTCCCATCAATCAAAACTATGTCATCTGCGAACAACATGTACCACAGTACTTCATCCTGTAGGTGCCTCGTTAAGTCATCCATAACTAAGATGTACGGGCTCAATGCTGACCCTTGATGTAGACCTATTGTCACTGAAAACTTACTTGTTTATCTATTAGTTGAATTTTTATACACACACACACATATATATATATAGCGTGCAGTTGGCATACGGACGCCTCTATAGGTGTAGAGGTACGGT